GTAGAAGGTGATCTCCGTTTCCCACAGGGGACGCCGAAGCCCAGAGGTGATAGTACTTGCCCAGAGTTACAGCCAGTAAGTGGCAGGGGAGGGATGGGAACCCGGCTCTGTGTGACGCCAAAGCCCGCTCCCTGCAGCCGTCTCACCCTTCCACCCTCGTGCACTGGGTAAACCGTCTTCACGCTGGTTACTCATCCCCACTCCACAAGCGGCGAAAGCGGCGATGGGACTGGAAAACACCACCGCCAAACCTTGCGCATGATGGGGCAGAGACGCCAACCCAGCCGGCGACTAACCAGGGACACTGCCACCTAACTCGGGCTGAAAGGACAGGCAGCAGCTGACAGTGGACCGATGACCTTTATGACAGGTCCCACTTCTAGTTCCATACTTTTTCTCCTGGGCAGTGACCGGTGACCACCACCATTATTATTATTATTTTTAACTAATTCTTCCTTAGGCGACACTTGATAGCTCAAATGTGTGATGGTTCTCTTCTCAAGGACAAATGACTTGTCCACAGTAGAAGATCAGGGGCTGCATGTCTGCCCCTTCCACCCCTCCATCACCTAGCACAGGCCACTGATTTTTTTTTTTTCCTTCTCAGCTTCCTATAACAGACAATTTCAAAATGCATAGAAAGCACAGAGAAGATCGTAACAAAAGTTACGATCAGAGGTACTGGTTTCCCAACTTTAAATTGACCATTGAGTCATGGCCAGTGCTGTTCCTCCTGTGCCGTCCACCTTGCTCTCAGCCCTCCCACTCTCTGGATTATTTTGATTGGATCTCAGACGTCACATCATTTCATCTGCAAATAATTCAGAAATGTATCTCTAAAACATAGGAACCTCCCCCTTTTAAAAACGTAAACAAAATACCATTTATAACACCTAAAATAAATGAACAATACTAGCTCAATGCATCGCCGAACATCTAGACAGCAATCCCATCTCCTCGATTGCCTTATGCTTCAGTTTGTTTGAATCAGGATCCCAATAAGTTTGACGCTTTGTTTGTATAAATCATGGACACTGAAGAAACATCGGGCACAGATGACCACGTGAAAAATGAATCCTTGAAGGAACAAATGTACAAACTTGTATCTCATGATTCTTATGATCACTTCCAATACCTGGGAGCATATTTTTTCATTCAGTTATTCACCAAATATTTACCGAATATCTACTATGTGCCAGGGACCATTCGGGGCTGGATTAAAGTCTTTCTTGAACATGAAAGAAGTTGTGCTAGGATGGGTAAGGGTGATCAGTGCAGCCAACACACTAGTATTTGATCTAGTATGGAGGTCAGCAAACTTTTTCAGGAAGTGCCACAGTAAGTTTAGGTTTTGCAGACCAGACAGTCCCTGTTGCAACCGCTCTCCTCTACTGTTGTAGTATGGAAGCAGCCATGGACCACACCTTAAAAGATGGTATGACTGCATTCCAATAAAACTTTATTTACAAAAACAGCCTGGCGGGCCAGATTTCGCCCGCAGGCTGTAGTCTGCCAAGCCCTGATCTAAGCAAATCACACTCCCCTAGCACCAGCCTCCATGGTCAGTACCCAGGTTGGACCATCAAACTCACCTCTTGGCTAGCTGTCTAGGGTGAGAGGCAGGACCGAGGTGCGTGGACTTAATACTGCTCGGTGAAAAAGGAAGCGATGGAAACCTGGGCACGACAGAGCAAGCCTGATACGCAAGGTCTCTTACCGTTCCGATAGTGCTGGAACCAAGGCGCCGTCACCCAGGCAGACACGCGCTCCGCCAGCTCCGCCCGGACACGTAAGGAGACGTTGAAATGCAGTGGGAACCCCTTCGAGAGGCTGGTTTGGGTGAAGCTACACTCTGTGGCCGTGATCCTCGTACAGTTCACCTCTGTGTACGGTGCGTGGACGTTGGACCACTTGTCACTGCCAGAGCTGAAAAGAAAAAAAGGGATTCCACGTCACAGAATTCTCTTTCCTATCACATGTGACAGTTTCCCCAGAGCTTTATTCAGCTATGACTCACGTACCATAGAATTCACCTGTCTAAAGTGTCTGAGTCAGTGGCTTCTAGCATATTCAACAAGGCTGTGCAACCATCAACACAATCGATTTTAGAACATTTTCATCATCCCAAGAAGAAACCCTGTACCTATCGGCAGTCACTCCCCCTTTCCCCCATTTCAACCGTTAATCTACTTTCTGTCTCTATGGATTTGCCTATTATGGAATCATCAACTATGTGGTCTTTCGTGACTATAAATGGGTTAATAAACTACATAGTCTTCTGTGAATCGCTCCTTTCACTTAGCCTGTCACGCTTAGCATGTTTTCAAGCATGATACGTGCTATAGCATGTATAAGTATTCCGTCCCTTCTTTTGGCCAAATATTATCCCATTGTAGGAATATACCACATTTTGTTGATTCATTCATCTGTTGATGGACATGTGGGTTGTTTCTACTTTTTGGGTATCGTGAATAATGCTAAGAATATTCACATACAAGTGTTTGAGTGGACATATGTTTTCAATTCTCTGGGGTACATACCTAGGAGTGGAATTGCTGGGTCGATATGGTAACTCTATTTCTAATTGGACATGACAGGCTGGGGCTATTTTCGCTCGAAATGCATGAGGGCTCCAGTTTCTCCACATCCTCACCGACATTTGTTATTACGCCTTTTTAACTGTAGCCATCCTAGTGGGTGTGCTGTGGTATTTCACTGTGGTTTTGATCTGTAGTCCCCTGATGAATAATAATGTTGAGTATATTTTCATGTTGCTGTTGACCATCTGTATCTATCTTCTTTGGAGGACCATCTACTCAAATTCTTTGCCTATATTTTAATTCGGTTATTTGTCTTTTAATGGTTGAGTTGTAAGAATCTTTTATATGTTCTAGATACGAGTTGCTTATCAGATATTTGGTTTGCAAATATGTTCTCCCATTCTGTCCTATAACTGATCTTTTAAAGATTTTTTAAAAAATTAACTTAGTGAAATAAGTCAGATGAAAAAAGACAAAAACCCTACGCTTTCACTCACACGTGGAATACGAAACAAAAAATGAGCTAAAAAAAGAAAAACATACTTGTAGATACAAATCACAAAATGGTGGGTACAACTGATTTCAGCCTCTGTAGCCTGTGTCTTAGAAGTGATACTATGTTCATACAAACCCCATTCATGCACCCAGCTAGTGTGGAGTTGGTTTTCACTGCCCATTTAAAGAGAATTTTTCCTTCCCCATATGAAAACCCTGCCAACTACATGGCCATGTGTCCTTGTAAGTGACAATGCGTTCCCCAGAGTCCTAAAAGCTACATCCCCAAATGGGACTCTGGTCATCAGCTCTGACCTCTGTCCTTGTCTTAGATGATAGATTTGGGAAAAAGGCAGGGAGAATGGGTGCCAGCACCCTCAATGAGGGGCAGTGGGCAGTATCCCCTCTAGGGACAAGCCATGCCCTGGACAGCGACCCCGGGGATCACTGCCACACAACACATGTGCTTCCACACAACACATGTGCTTCTCCGTGTACCTCTGGCCCTGACTAGAGACTTATCTTCTGTTACAGTGGCAAGTGACAAGATGAAAGCCACTTCAAGATGTGTGGCCAGGGCTTCCATAGATGGCGTCTGCCATATTCACACACCTCCAAGGCCTGGGGTCACAGCCCCTAATGGAGAGAGGGATTCCAAACAACAGGCACCCCTCTCAGATTGGGGGTGTGTGCTTTAGAAGTACGTGATTTTTTTTTCAAGGTCTATGGATACTTACAGATACACGAACCTCCTCTCCACTGATCCCAGCTACTGAACGTGGGCAAAAGGCCTCGTCTATTTCAAAAGTTCATGCCTTAACTCACCACGGAATCAACTACCTGTGTTCCACTTTCTCGCCTCTCCCCCAAACGTGCCCCTTTCCCAGAAGTACTTTTTAAAACTGTTTTTCCAAAAAGGAGTTGAAAGAAGAAGAAGCCATCCACATTTAAGTGACAGCCGACACACGAAGGCCAGCAGTTTGGGGGAAAGGAAGCTGCCTCCTCATCTATCTGCAGAGGGTAAAAATAAGGTGACGTGGGCCCCATTTAAATGAAAAATGTAATCAACAGCCTCAAGAGCATGACACTGCCCAGCGCCAGACTCTCAGCTTCTAGTCTGGCGTTCTGACCGATCAGCCCGTCTGAGCCTAGCCGGCGAGTCATCCTAGATCCTCCTTGCAGTGTACACAGTATAGATTGCCTCCGTCCCTGAATTTACTTAATTTTGAAAGCAACCTTTATCACGAGAGAGAGCACAGCATAGCACAGTGGTTAAAAACATGGACTCTGGAGCCATATTACCTGGGTTCAAATCCCAGTTACTTTACTTCCCTGTTCCTTAGACTCCTTACCTATAAAGTGGTGATAAACTATAGTAACTGCCTCCCAGAGTTGTCACGAAGGTAGAACCTGTGGCCATCAGGAAGGAGCCTGGTCAAGGGCCTGGTGCCTAGTAAGCGCCATGTAGATATCTGGCAAACATCGGGCCAACTAAAGATCTCACCGTTTAGCCTGCGAGACCACTCCCCTGTGACCCAGCAAATCCTCTTCTAGGAATATAAGAAAATAATGAGATGAGTTATGTATGAGGACTTTACCTACAACAGTCACAAACATCACCTATCTCTACCCGTGAGTGGGGCACGTGTGATGCGCCATGCAATAAAAATGTTTATGCAGAAATAACGACAGGAAAAAAAATGCTCGCATGGTTAACTATGTTAAAATAATTTTAAAAGGGACACAGGACCCAAAATCGTAACCCCAGCTTTGTTTCATTTTATACACACACCAGCACAGGTGGGGCACGACCTAGAAAGGGCCCTGCTATTTTCAAGAACAAAAATTGGGCTCTTTTTTTTTTTAAAGTGAAATTTCCAAGTTTTTAATATTGATAGTAACTGGAATAAAAATCTAAACAATGTGGGCCAAATACAGCCTGTAGGCTGCACTATCTACAACCCCTGATATAAACTTCAAATTTTCCTACAAAGTGCTCTATGTGGTTTTGGTTTTGCTACTGTGACTGTCATAAAACAGAGGCACTTTTGTTTATAATTATAGTAATGCTTTACTGTAGAGAAACAGGATGGAAAGTTTTAAGTCCCACGAGCCTCAAAATTAAATTATTTAATGTAACTAAAATGTCCCGAATGTGTAAAAGTATCTAAAACAAAACAGAGGCAAAGCCCTCTTTCTCATCAAATCTGCGACTGGAAACGCAAACAAAATCAGCCTCAGGGTCAGTTTTTAGTGACCGCTCAACTTTTCTAAACAGGGACGTTCGCATTCGCCCCATCCTTTGTGCCTGTTCCCAAAACTAACATCTACTCTGAAAAAAAAAAAAAAAATCTACGAAATGCTTTCCAAAAAGAAAACAAAGGAAACAACTTAGTCTGTGATATGAAACTGTCAAAAGCTTTAAAAAATATGTATATATTTACGGACACTCTGTCGACGCACAAATGTACTTCCCCATTCAAGGTTAAGGACTGCTAGTCAATAAATCAGCTGGGACTTCCTGTTACTGAAATCTTTTTGTTTAGCTCTAGGATATTATGTTTACTAAATGCTGAGTAGGGCCAGCTTCAGGTATGTGACCTATGCAGTGACACAAAGCCCTACTCTTGGAGGGCACCTGGTTTGATGTGCTGCTGCTGCTGCCATCTTGAAATTCTTAATGATTTTTGAACAGGGGCCCCACGGTTTCATTTTCCACTGGGTCCCAAAAGTTATGCCATTGGTCCCAGTGGACTGGTCTAGTAATTAGAGATGATTGTGTTTGTAATATATAATGACTTGAGGAATAGATAAATATGATTCAGAGATAATCTTCAAACCCCAGTTTAGAATCTGTTTTTATTAAGCGAATTTTGTTACAACGGACGTTTAAAGATGAAGAAGAAATCATGTGGAAACCCACTCTTCCAACACCTTAACTGCCTATCATTTTTCTACTTGTTCTTGACCACAGACATATTCCGACTTTTACAGAGTTGCAACCACTACCAGATAATACACAATTACCCTGTTTAGTGGTCGTAATGGGCAACTATAACGTAACATGACACAGTTTGCCACTTTCCTGTTGATGGACATCAACATACACTTCAACGTGTATGTTTTTATGAATATGTTTTTTTTTTCTACTTAGGGTAAAAGTAACATGAGCATTTCCAAGACTAAATAGAAGAATTACTCCCTAAGAGGGATGTGCCAATCGATCCTGATCCAGCATTGTATCTAGCAACCACATTCTCACAAGCGTTGAGAATTATCATTTCTTTTCATTGTTTATTTGGTAATATAAAATGACTTAGTCAATAATTTTAACTTAGTCTTCAATGAACATATTTAACAACTAAGCAAATAACGACTGAGGACTTGGGTTCTGCCTTTCTACTTCCTATGTGTTACATAAAAGCTTGACAAGGAGGTGAGAGAGAATGAGGGGCCAGAATATAATGCAAAATGGAAAACCCACTTAGAAACTGAGCATGAACAATAATTAAATAGATAAATTCCTCATTAGGCCAAATGTGGCTTATGAGGTTGAATAAAGCAGAGTTTTAAACCCGAAGAAGATGAAGACTAAAAGGTGCTTCCTGCCCTTTCAAGCCGGGAAGCCTGTTTATACAGGTTTCTCCTGAAACCAACGAGAGAATGAACTTCCGCCAAACTAAGAAGTCACGTGGTTAGACAGCGGAGTTCTCTAAGCATTTGGATGAGTGGGAAGTTGTGAAATCTCGGTCCTTGGAGATTTTAAAGATGTGAGAAAAATAGCTGCTTCCCATGGATTTGCTGACACTTGTGCCTACAGGCAGGAACGCGAAGCTGGCCCGGGTGGCTCAGCTCCCCTCCGTATCCCAAGAAAGACACCCACGGAAACATCTGCTTACAATTTGAACTGCACCTGGTAGACCACGGGCCTTGTGTCATTGCTCAGGGACACCGGCTCCCAACTCAGAACCTGCATGGCGTTGTACAGGTGAATCTTCAGGTTTTCAGGAGCAGGCAGCTGGGAACGAGAGTCTTGAAAGGGACAGAGAACAAGAGAAGGGAGAAGAGGTGGAATGGAAAGGGAGGGTCAAAAGGAGAAAACTCAGTTACACACATATTTAAACACACACTGCCGAACCACGTATACAACTCGGTTTTTGTCCAAGTGCAGAAACGGCATCACTCGACCTCCCCGGCATGCCCTTACTCCCGCTTTGACTAAAGGTGGTACCATCGACACAGTCCATGGGAAGAAAGAGGGGCTTGGGGCTGCCTTTCCACCTGCAGGTGACAGGGGCTAGGACCAGAGTCTGGCCGGACTGGAATGCCTGCTCCGCCTTTAGCGAGCGTGCGTGACTGGGCAGGTCACTTACCAGTCAGGCCTCAGTTTCTGCTTCAGGAATAAGGGAAGAGTAATAGTACACTCCACAGGCTGTTGTGAAGATTAAACTGGTGGCCATGTGACAGACTCAGTACCAAGGGAGCGCACAGTAAACCTCCACAAACGCGCACACATGTGTCCCCACTCGCACACGGAAGCAGGAGTGCAGAGCGTGTGCGAGCACGAAGCCTGCCTTCTGGGCTTTACCAGAGCTGCTCTGCTCCCCAAGGACCCCCCAGCATCACAATCACTGACGTGCTGCTTACAAGGCAGATTCCCAGGCCTGACCCCAGACGGGGAAATATGCATTTTCAGCAAGCTTCCCAGCTGAATCTTAAGCACATGAAAGGTTGAGAACTATAAACAACAAGCTGTCACACTCCCCAGGGAACCACCACCAAAATCAGAATTCCCCTCCTTGGGGTGACCTGGCAGACACAGCCCCAATCCCCCAGGCAGGTACTTTCTAGGACTGGGCTGGAGGCTGTGGGCTCAAGAGCCTACTCTCTAGTAAGCAAATACGATAAGATTTTCTCTGACACTGAAAGATTAATGAGAAACGCCCAGAAGGTGAGAAGAAAAGTTTGGAAAACGTGCTGTACCAGAATTCAGAGCAGGAAATTCAAACCACACATTTTCGGTAAATGCATCCAATTTTGATGAACATGACCAGGTGGGTCTACGGCCCGGCCGGCCAGCTCTCCTTCTGAAAGATGCGTTACCAAGAGTCTGTGGCCACTTGTTTACTTACAGAATGTCCATCGTCTCCACATCTCCGAGCTTGGCTAACCTTTGCTCCAGATCTTTATTGAACCAGCTAACCGACACTTTGCCCAATTCATACCAGGCCTCGTGAAAGCTGGGCCAAAGGCCGATGGACAGGGACAGCATGGTGGGGGGCTGCTCCCCTGACGACCCTTCCCGCTCACTGTGGCTGCCAGGGCCACCAGACTGAGCTGAGCACTGAAGTCCTGCTTCCAGGGAGGGCCGTGCAGGGCCCCACGGGGTACGTGCTTGCTTTAGGCTGGGCGCCCATCAGAGACTCAGAAAGCCCCTACGCCGCCTGGCATCAATTCCCTGGCATCTATTGATGCTGAAATAAATTACCATAAATTTAGTGTCTTAAAATAACCCAGACTTAGGCTCTTAGCAGTTCCGGAGGTCAGACGTTCGAAACAGGTCTCACTGGGCTGAAGTCAAGGTGTCGGCAGGGCTGTGCTCCTTCTGGAAGCTCCCAGAGGAAGCGCAGTTCCTTGCCTCTCCCAGCTTCCGGAAGCTGCTCCTGTCTTTGACCGGGGGCCCTTCCCCCAGCAGCGCCGGGCTCAGTCCTTCCTGCTTGTGCTGCCATCTGTCTGGTTCTGACTCTTCTGCCTCCCTCTTCCATCTTTCAAGGACTCTTGAGATGAGATTGGGCCCACAGAGCCCAGTGATCCAAGCGTCACCTCCCATCCCAACATCCTTAGTCACATCGGTGAAGTCCCATTTGCCATGTAAGGGGCTTGGCATCTGGACAACTTCGGGGACCGTGAGTCAGTCGCCTGCCGCAGTGCCCCCTCGCCATGTCTCCATCTCTGGGGCGGGGGAGTCAGCAGGCATTTCCTCTCCCTCCACCCTTCTCCCGACACCCCCATCTCCCCAGTCTAGATATGCGGCTAAGAAAGGAAGCACCCAGGGACCCAGTGATGAAGGAAGGGCTTCCACCCCGACGGACACGTGGGCCGCAGGGCTTCCCTGCCACAGACGGGCCTCCCACTTTCTTCGACTTTCATTCTTACCGAGGTGTGCGAGAGGGGACCCGCAGTTCTGCCCTTACATTTGAGTTTCCTGGAATCCTGCCTCACCGCAGTGAGAAGAAAACAAGCCTTAGAACTGTGCCTTTCCAGCGGAGTGCCACAGATCGTCCACCCGTTAACGGCCACCTTGTCCCACTGCCCTCTCAGAAGGCCTGTCCCCGAACGGCCTCGCCCCTCGGTGTCCTTGTTTCTGGAAAACAGTGGACACACTCCCGCCTTGTGTCTCCCTTGCTGCTCCCTTGCTCCGGAACCTTCTTTCCTGCTGTGCCACAGCTCTCAACCCTTCGCGTCTCTGCTTGGGTGCCACCCTGTCAGCGCTGTTTCCTGCAGACCGTGCCCAGGGCACAGGGCGCCCTGTCTCTGCTTCTTCCGCCACCTTTGCTCACACCATGGTGGTCGGGAGCGTGTTCCAGAACCGGACTGCCTGCGCTCAAAGCCACACACTCTTCGTGGGAGCTTGGGCGAGCTGTTTCTGTTTCATCTCTTTGTGCCTCGGCTCGATCTCATCTGTAAAATGAGGATGATGACACTACAGACTTCAAAAGGTTGCAACAGCTGAGAACAGTGTGAGTATCACACGACTGCTGCCTCTTCTCATCGCTAGCAGCTTACTGACTCTCTCCCCCAGACACTAAAGCGGTGAGCTCCAGGAAGACTGGCGTTGTTGGGTTTAGGGGTTGTTTTAACACCAGTGTCTGGAGGAGCGGACTTGCCACCTCCTTCAGATATTCTGTAGCCAGTTTTTTGTGTCCTCGGCTTGCACTCACCCACTCAAAACCCACGCAAAGCTTAGGCTCTCTTTTCCCTTCCTCGCTTTTGCTTAAGCCCTCCCTTTTCTGGTCTCAGAGGCTGTTGCAGGGAGTGGGTAGAAAACTCGGGACCATGGACTTGTATCTGGATGGCTCTGGAGTAGATATACTTAGGGCCATAGCACCTGCTGTTAATAGTGTTGACAAAGGCTCGATGGGAAGAGAACAGGATTTATGGAACCCTGGAACCCTGATCCTGCCACCTACAGCCATGGGCCCCTGCCAAGCCCCGACCTGAGCCTCAGTTTCCTCATGAATAGTGAAATTATACAACCTCCCCCAGAGTTGTAGCCAGGAGCAAATGCAAGACCATGAAGGAAAGGCAAACCAGACGCTACTGCCTCAGTATAATTTTTAAGATGTGACTATTTCAAGGTGTCCCGATGAATGACTGCTTCTGCAGGTGCTAAGTGCCAGGCAGTTACCCAGACCCTGCCTTTGGTGACCACCAACAGGGTGCCCAGCCCCGCACTGAGCACCGTATTTAATGGTCTGACCCTGTTGAAGGCAGAATAACGGTCCGCCCAAAGATGTCTGTGTTCTGTGACTATATCAAGTTCCACGGCAAAGGGGAATTAGGGTTGTTGCAATGAAACTGAGTTTCCTAATCAGAAGACTTAAAATAGGGAGATTATCCTGGACTATGTGGGTGGACCCAATGTCTTCACAAGGCTGTCTCTAGAAGCTGGAAAAGGCAAGGAAATGATTCTCCCCGCCAGGACCTCCAGAAAGGACTGCGTCCCTACTGCACACTGATGCCAGCCCCGTGAAACCTGCATCACACCTCCAGAGCTGTAAGATAATAAATCTGTGTTGTTTTAAGGCACAAAGTTGGTGGTCATTTGTTACAGCATCAGCAGAAGTGAATAGAGTCCCCGCGGGTGGACACCAGTGCTTTAATGACATCCTGGCTCCTGCAAGATAAAAGCGCACACCCTAAGTAGGGCATACGAAGCCCCCCTCTACCTTCCTCCTCCACAGTCTCTGGGGCAATGATTCCTAAACCGGTAACAGTAAGAAGAGATAACGTAGGTGTCGAGTGTGTCCCCTGCACCTTGCCAGCACAGCTTCTCTGCTCTGCCTTCTCGCCATAAACCACCACCTCTGATCTACCCTGGATCCAGGCATTTGAGACTTTACACATATTTAAGAATAGGCTACCCCAGGTCTTACGAGCATAGCTTGACAAACGCACATCACACACAGATAATAAAGTACAATTATTAAAATTAATCATTTAATCTTGACAATCAAGACCCTTCAGGATCTTTCCATGGATGGGTCATTATGATGAATATCACTGAGCCCACCTCCAGCACCCCGCAGGTGAGGAGAAATTTTTTAAAAATCCCCTGAATCCTCAGCTATAACCAGGAAGTTGCTCACCGGACATTAGCTTATTTACCCAGACCATTTGTCTCTTCCAAAAAAAAGACGGTTTGGGAGGAAAATGGGGCTGTTACCTCCTTCAAAAGAATGGTCGAGAAAATTAAGAAAGATAATGTACACGAAGCACTTAGCAGCTTGCCTGACCTAGAGGAGTGGCCCAGGCATATGATAGCTATTGCTATCATTTATAGAGTTTGCCTCAAACATTCCAGCTACTTGGTAGATTCGACTGTTGAAAAGTACAGACAAACAGGAGTGACTTAGTGTGCACTCATTTGCAATGGTTTTTATGTCGTTGGGATTTACTGGTTTTTTTTTTTTGTCAATGGTCTCTAAGCACATCAGAAACTTTGGATGTTCAAGTCAGCAAATCACGGTAATACAATTGCGCGGCACGAGGACGGATCCGATCCACTGGAAAACGAAGCGGCAGCTACAACCATTATTAGTTCAACACTCAGGTAATTAAATTACTAGAGTCAGTTGCACTGACTCTAATTGCATTTTAGAGCTGTTTAGTTTTCTATCCAAAGCAAATGGCCACCAAGCAAGGCAGCGGTTCCCTAACCTTTTTGGCACCAGGGACCGGTGCTCCTATGAGAATCGAAAGTCTGTTGATCTGAGGTGGAGCGGAGGCGGTGATGCTAGCGCTGGGGAGCGGCTGCAAACACAGATGAAGCTTCTGTTTACTGGTCGCTCACCTCCTGCTATGCGGCCCAGTTCCTAATAGGCCACGGACCTGTCCTGGTGACCCCTGACCTAAGGTATCACTACAATTTGGGTCAGGGCCAATATTTTACATATGTTCTCCCTATAACAACTCTAAGGGGTAGATATTATAAGTCTCCCTTTAAAATTTTGTTTCCAATACTTATTTTTTCCCTCTGACCATAGAAACAATTTCTTGATTACTGAAGGACACCTGTAAATAATCAAAACACGTGGACATTTTTTCTATTACCTATTTACTATATAATCATTTTCATTATTTTTCACTTTATGTTTTGACTAACAAAGAGTTTTGATTGTTTCGTTAAACAATATCCCAGTTTTAAAATTGTTTATTACAAAAAATTTAAATAGTCACAAAAATAAAGATTAATGTAACGTGGTGATGCTTTTCAAAGGCTCTATGGTGAAGAACCAGTTCATGTCCCATCATCACACAGACCCAAACTTTTGTAGCCTACAGTAAAAGGCCATCACTAGAGAAATGGAGATGCCCTTGGGTGCTGCGGCAGCGTCAACCTCTGGGTTCCTGTTAACAGGTCATGGACCACCATATGCCCATCACCCAGCTTGGGTAATTACCAACATTTTGCCAACCCCCAAATCCCACCTGAAGGAGGTCCAGGGAGGGTCCGCACCTCCTAGGTTGCTCAAGACTTGAAGTTGGGGAAGGGTGGAATTAGGATTCATACCCATTTGACCAACTCCCAGAGGAAAACCATTGAACCAGGAGCACACATTCTCACAGACAAGGCTCCTCTCTCCCATCCAGGAGCTTTGGAATTTAAGGGCCTTTGCAAGGGATGCTGGTAGAAGAAACAAACCGGATCCACACCTTGAGACTTCGAATGGGAGGAAACTTCTAAATTCTTGAGACTTTTCAGGTGCTACCCAACCTATATCAGTCTCCCCAAGAGAAAGAAGCCAGCAAAACACCAACACAGAGGGAATGTTCTCCTACCTGCGTCTTTATCACTGAGCTCTCCACGCCCCCAGCCACTCTTTTTTAAACATTTATATTCGGCTTATACGTGTGGTCAGTTAGTGTCAGAGGTAGAAGGAGGCTGA